CCACCCCTGCTGCTGCCCGTTCTCCTGAATTAGGGTTTGGGGGTGGGGGGTATGGGGGTGCAGCTTCTGTGTGCCGTCCCCTGCTCCTCCTCCTCCTCCGTCTCCCAGTGCTGCAGCTGCCGCTGAGGGGGGTGGACCTGTTGGAGCCGTCGGAGTGGTACTAAGGGGGGTGAAGGGGGAGTGGAGCTAGGGGTGAAGCAGGGGGTGTGTGTCAGGGGGAGTGGGACTGTTTGGGGAGGTTGAACTGAGGTTGCCGTCGTGTCGCCAGCAGCACCTGTAGTCCGGGGAGTTGCTCCGGTAGCCCAGTCGCAGCCAGCTGTGCCAGTCGCCCGTGGGTCCGTTGCTCGTCTGCCGCTACTTTTAGCCGCGGAGCCAGTTACTCCAGTAGTCCGGAGCGTTGTTCCGGTAGCCGCTGTGCCAGTGTGACTCCTGTTGCCCGTGTGTCTGCAGCTTCAGCCGTCGCCTCCTATCTCCTCTCCTCTCACTCTCGCCTCCTCCTCCTCACTTGCCCTCTGCGATAGCCTCTAGCTTTGCTCATAATTGTGAACTTTAAACTATTGCTTCTTGTACTTGTGCTCAGAATGTGTGGTGACATTGTGATCCACCCTGAGCTTGTTCTGCTTTGCTTGCTCTGCTGATTACACCCCACTTTGGCTATGGGGGTGTGTCAGAATGTTATGCTCTAGCCTGTAGTGGGGTGCTCTATAGCGAGTACAACCCTTCTAGGGTTTGCTATTTGTATCCTCATTCCTGCTAGTGAACCCCCTCTTTGCCTAAACTGTTTCTTGCCTAGCTAGGGCTTTCCTAGCTATGGCTCCTAACTCTAACTACTATTTTCACACTGTCCATCGCGATGCCCGTGATATTGTTGATGTCAACGCCCGTGCTCTCTAGACGAGCCAGCAGCACGGTCAGAAGAGACGAAGCGTTGCACTTCTCGACCGTCAAATGGCCGAACAATTCGGTCACGGTCTTTGCGTCCCGGGCGAAGGACAAGTAAACAAGCATGTGTTTACCCCTTCGACGGTCTGTGCTCTCGTCCAGTTGAATGCCGAGAAATGGTGAAGACTGGATGTGGCGCATCTGCTGTTGCTTCAGGTTTACCACAAGTGCCTCGGTCATCTCGCGGAAGTCGTACCTGCACAGAAATCACAGGAAAGGTCAGATGGTGGTATTAAAAAAAAAAACAGGCAAGTACTACAACAATACGTACTCAGATTGATACGTTCCTATCGCCTTATCACGTATGTCAGGCATCCCCAAGTCTGCCAAAAGGCGCACAAGACCAGCAAACCCGGAAATAGGGGAATCCGACTCGCAGATAAACAGCACAGTGAGCATGAGTTGCTTCAACCGAGCCGTCTCCTTGTCCGCGTTCTCGAAATCCGCGATGCCTTCTTTGCATGACCTTAGCGCCTTTTACGCGCAGCTGGTGGTCGACCGCGTCCTGATGCTTCTTGCTGAGGCTATGCTTCCGCATAGACTGCCGCTGAATGTTAACCCCGGCATCGCCAAACTTCCCGTATTTCCAATGCAGAGGACCGTGAGCCATGCAGACGCTGAACTTCATGCATGGTGTGCCATCTTTCCTCTGTGAAATGACAAGCCAGCTGAACTTGCCCTTCCAAAATTCTTTCGCCTTCGTTAGGAGCTCTGACATCAGACTGTCAGAATCAGGTACGTGAAGGGTAGACGGGCCCGGATCTCCGTGTGGATCCCCGGCCTGTGTAGCTGGCCGTGAAGATGCTTTCCTCGTGTAGGCGGCGCGGTAGAGCGAGAAACTATGCGAATGTGAGGCACGCGAGTCTTTGCAAGACGGAGGGTGCTCTGGTTGAAGCGCCCCACCTTAGGGAACCGAGGCTCGGCGTGTGAACGTGGGGCACTAACGGACGATCGCGCTCTCTGAGATTGCGCGGGACGGTGATAAGGAGGCCTAGGCGAGACGGGCGGTGTGCTGCTTGAAACTCGCCGAGCATTAACCTCGGGCCAAATCACGGGCGCCACTTCAACGGCTACTACACGGGTGGATCCTACGGCGACTGGCTGGGTCCTACGCAGAAATTCCAGGCTTGTCATAGGCGTACGGGCCAGTGGGGGGGAATTTTCCGCAGCGTCCTCGTCGTCCGCCATGGCGAGGAGACAGACGGGTATCGAAAGTGGTAGCGTCACAGCAGATACGAGCGTGAATGCGTATGTTCGAAGAGGGGGTTGGAGAAGAAGGGACCCCTGAAACCCCAGCTGTGCAACTACATCTGCCTTGGATGAAGCGCAAATGATAGAAGGACAATGGGTGGCTCCACTTGTTTGTTGCGCCACCGCAACTTGGTTCTTGAAGCTTCTGTAGGCGCCGAATGCGGCTATTTGTGATGTGGAAGTGGCTGTGCTATCTCTAAACTGACCAATCCGACCAGTCCTAGCATGCCACGCACACCACGCTTGCTCTACACGTGGGCAATGTATGACGGGGACTTACCGTAATCACCCGGACATAACACCCTAGGGTCTTACTTTAAATACAGCAAAAAAATGGGGGGGGGGGCTTCTCATAGGAAAAAGCTACATACCACCCGGGTGCATATATATGACATTTTTTTAGTGTAAGGGTTTCTATAAATAGGCAGCTTGGGTGTTTTCAAGGTTGGTTTAGCATCACATTTGGAAGCGAGATTGTCAGTTTCGACGACAACATTGACTCCTCCTTGAAGTTGCGAGGTGGCACCTCTTTGGCCACTTGATAGCGAAAGAACTACCAGCGTGGCAACAGTGAAAAAGTGGGACGGAGGTGACCCCAGCAGATACTTTCGAAATTACCATGTAATTTCGTGCAAAAAGTGATCGTCGCGATGTCCCCCCGTCATTGCACATACTCGTTAACACCTAAAATAAGGCATTCTGTGTAAAAAAAAAGGGGGTGTTATAAAAAATCGCCCCAAAAGGGGGGGTATAGTACAAACGGGGTCAACTATAACACCCACCCCGCACAAGCCACCCGGGGGGTCTACAATTTCGGCGGGTGGTATGTCCGGGTGATAACGGTACATGAATCAGCAGAGCTTTTTTGCGAAATCACATGTTGCAGCAGCACCTTGTGCAATGGTGGCCTAGTGGTCACGTGCAGCGACGAGGCGCGAAATTAAAAGTGTCCGCAATCCGATAATCAGGGGACACATTGCATGCACGCCTAAATCACGCCTAAGGGGAAAAGTCTAGGTATCTAACGAAATCGAAACAGGTTCCTGATGTACGGTATTAGATAAAATGTAAAAATCACTTCTTTCCTATCAGCTAAAACAAAAACCAATTTCTGAAAAATCAGATAAACCCTAAAAAATCTGTCTGATAATAAGACAAACAGACAAGAAATTTCTGGTAGGGAGGACCCTGATTTGATCATAGCGAGACTTGGCTGCAACCTGCCTAGTGGACCTCTTGCTGCCCCACCAGGCTTCATTTCCTGCATGGCAGAGATGGCAGTGGGAGTGAGTGGGGGATGTGAGTGAGATGGTGGTGGGAGTGAGCGGAAGGTCTGGGTGAGGCATACACAGCCCTCCCCCTCCTGCCACAGCAGTCCCCCACGTTCCACCTGCCCCTCCTGCCCGTCCGTATCTCCCACCTTTGTCCCCCTCCTCCCCACCACTCATGTGCCAACTGCCTGCTGCTCCGTCTCCTCCTCACAGCTGTCTGCACCCCTTCGCCTCCGCCAGCAACGCTCCTCAAGAGGCTGTGTGCCCTATCAGTGTCTGCTAGGCCCCTGCAATCACAAACCTTCCCCCGCACCCCTCCCCCTCTCATGCACGCTCCTCGGGAGGCTGTGCATCCCACCAGTATGTGTTCGGCCCCTGCAATCACACGCCCCCCACCCTCCCCCCATCCCTCTCCCATGCACGCTCCTCAGCAGGCTATGCAACCCGTCAGGGTGTGAGATATTATTTTTCAGAAACTTAATAAAAAGCTCACAAGGAGACGAGGTACTGCAGGCCACTGGCTGCATCATCCACGCCCAGGGACGGGGGAAAGGATGGTCATGGGGATGGGGTTGGAGAAGGGGATGGGGATGGAGAAGGGGATGGGGTTGGAGAAGGGGATGGGGATGGAGAAGGGGATGGGGATGTTGAAAGGGAAGAAGACGGGGTGGGGAGGGGGGGGATGGGGAGGGGATGGGACAGGGAATGGGATTGGGGATGGGAATGGGGAGGAGGGGGGGACACTGATACGGAGTGACGTCGGAAATGAACTCCTGCAGGGTGATGAGAAGAAGCAGGGGCAGTGGTACAGAGAGGCCAGTGGGACAGGCCGTGAGGGGTCAGGAGGAGAGTTTGGTCAGGTGAGTGATGGGGTGGAGGGAAGGAAGTGTCTTTGTGAAAGTAGTTTTTTATGTCTTTAGCGCAGTGAGTGTTTCGGAGATGCAGGTGCGACAGCCCAGGAGGGGCCAGAGGGAAATGCGAGTGAGATGGGAGTGAGAGAAGTGGTGAGAGATGGGAAGGGGGGAGGAAGAAGGGAACGATGTGGTATACTATCAATCCCCGTTAGTCCCGCATTCCCACGTTGGATGATTTAGTTTTGAGACGTCTCAACACTGGATAGCACCAGGGCAGGCATTCGCGAGGCATGCAACACCGAGAGTGGCATGAGCATGACACCAGCTCAAGTCAAAAGAGACCTCAGATTAGAGTGACTCGACACTGACCTGAGACTGACCTGAGACTGACCTGAAAATGACCAGCGGGTGATCAGAGGAGGGAATGGAGTGGAGCCATGATGGGAAGGAGAGCATGGGGGTTCAGGCAGGTGAGCGTCAAGTGAGGCTGCATGAGACGATTTTGAGAATTATCATAGGCAACTCAGATGTAGCCGGTTCGAAGTTAACTCAAATTCTAGTTTGTTGGATGTCATACTCTTGGTTATGGAACCGCTTGGTGAGAGCACGGTACAATATCGGAAGCTCACCTACTAGGTAGTTACGGCGGTCCCTTGATGACCTTCGAGGAGATGGGTCCTTTTCACTGGTAGGCCCCAGTCTTGTCCGTCTTGGAAAGGCAGTCCGTCTTGGAAATGCAGTCCGTCTTGGAAAGGCAGTCTGTCTTGGAAAGGCAGTCCGTCTTGGAACGGCAGTCCGTCTTGGAAAGGCAGTCCGTCTTGGAAAGGCAGTCCGTCTTGGAAAGGCAGTCCGTCTTGGAAAGGCAGTCCGTCTTGGAAAGGCAGTCCGTCTTGGAAAGGCAGTCCGTCTTGGCAAGGCAGTCCGTCTTGGAAAGGCGGTCCGTCTTGGAAAGGCAGTCCGTCTTGGCAAGGCAGTCTGTCTTGGAAAGGCGGTCCGTCTTGGAAAGGCAGTCCGACTTGGAAGGGCAGTCCGTCTTGGAAAGGCGGTCCGTCTTGGAAGGGCAGTCCGTCTTGGAAGGGCAGTCCGTCTTGGAAAGGCAGTCCGTCTTGGCAAGGCAGTCCGTCTTGGAAAGGCAGTCCGTCTTGGAAAGGCAGTCCGACTTGGTAAGGCAGTCCGTCTTGGAAAGGCAGTCCGACTTGGTAAGGCAGTCCGACTTGGAAAGGCAGTCCGTCTTCGAACGGCAGTCCGTCTTGGAACGGCAGTCCGTCTTGGAAAGGCAGTCCGTCTTGGAAAGGCGAGGCAGTCCGTCTTGGAAAGGCAGTCCGTCTTGGCAAGGCAGTCTGTCTTGGAAAGGCAGTCCGTCTTGGAAAGGCAGTCCGACTTGGTAAGGCAGTCCGTCTTGGAAAGGCGGTCCGTCTTGGAAGGGCAGTTTGTCTTGGAAGGGCAGTCCGTCTTGGAAAGGCAGTCCGTCTTGGCAAGGCAGTCCGTCTTGGAAAGGCAGTCCGTCTTGGAAAGGCAGTCCGACTTGGTAAGGCAGTCCGTCTTGGAAAGGCAGTCCGACTTGGTAAGGCAGTCCGACTTGGAAAGGCAGTCCGTCTTGGAACGGCAGTCCGTCTTGGAACGGCAGTCCGTCTTGGAAAGGCAGTCCGTCTTGGAAAGGCGAGGCAGTCCGTCTTGGAAAGGCAGTCCGTCTTGGCAAGGCAGTCTGTCTTGGAAAGGCATGTTGGTGCAACCCTACGGTTTGCACTCGGCTTGTTGTCCGTGTGCGTGAATGTGTGTGTGTATGGAATGGTATGAGGGCATGGGATAATATATATTTCATGCTTATAATTGTGTGTGAATGTTGAGTCATGATGTCGAGTGTGTGTGTCGAGTCAATAGCGAGTTATCGCTAGACGCGTGTTACGCGGTCGTTTGTGTCTCGCGCGCGGTTTCTATTTTGTCGTGCGCGGTTTCTATTTTGTCCTGTGTCGAACGTTCGGCGTGTCGCAGGTGTGTGCAGCAGACCCATCAAGAACTCAAGGATGAGTTTGTGATGAAGAGCCCGAGCCTTGGTGTCAAGCCTCAAGTGATTTCGAAGCTTGCCAAAAGGGTACACCTCAAGATATTGAAGATAGTTACATTACTTTGTGTAGTGTAACATTTCACTTGGTGTAGGCCCTAATGAAGGGTAGTTTCGAGACCCTTCGTGGTTGGGGACAGTGTGGCACTGTTCCACATCACTGTACCTCGGCTCTTGGGGTTTGTAGGAGCTGGGAGTCATTCCCAACTCGTAACTCTTCCTATCTTGTGTTCTAAGACTATAGTGGCTGCCATAGTACCGTTCGTTCAAACCGACGCTGTGTCGTCAATTCTTTATCAAATCGTGCAATCTAAATTGATAATTGTAGACGACGTGAAGACGCTCCAGATCCAATTTGAATCAAGTCATTTGCAGCTGTGAGCAGAACGCTATCAACGTTTGAAGCCGCTGTGCAGAAATCCGTCTGTGCTCTCTATCTTTCGTTTTAGGCACATTCAAGCCTATTGTGACTATAACAAGTGGTATCAGAGCCCCTTGGAGCAGTTTCGACAATTGCTGGACCTGAGGAAAGGGGTGGCAGAGGTGCTGGTGGCAGTGGAGAAGCCCAAGCTCAAGGCCAACCCCGTGACTCAGCCATGGCGCCCGTGCAACCAAGTGTTGGCCCATCTAGGGACGAGCCTAGAGTGTTTGGCCTTGACAAGTTCAACGGTGACAACTTTGCTGAGTGGTCCTTCAGAATGGAGAACGTGTTTGATCACTATGACCTGTTGGAGGTGATGGAAGGAACGGAGAAGCGCCCCGAGAACGACCCGGAGAAGAGCCCGTGGGTGCGGAAGAGCGCACAAGGCTACCTCCTACTAGGGCAAGCGTTGGGGAGCAGCCAGATCCGTCACATCAAGCCTTTCCAGCGTGAACCAGAGAAGGGACCAAAGGCATGGGCTGCTGTCAAGGGTGTACATGCTCCTGCAACAGCGGCGGTAGCGGTGGTGTTGGAACGGCAAATGGCGGCACTACGAATTGAAGAAGACGAAGCGGTTGAAGAAGGGGTGCTGAAATTCTTCGACTTGTTGACGCGGCTTGAGGGAGCTGATTTGAACTACAGTGAGCTCCAAAAGAAGACCAAGTTGCTGGCCTTACTCCCAGAGTCATGGTCCTCGCTCATCATCAACCTTAATCGCGACTTGCCCCGCCTCTCGCTTGAAGACGTGAAGCGAGCTATCCTTCAAGAGGATTTCCGCCGCCGTGAGTTGGCGAGTGCGGATGGCGCTGGGGCAGCGAGCATCGGCCGTGGATACGGTCGAGGAAGAGGCAGAGGACGAGGGCAAGGAAGGTTTGGTGGCAGCAACTTCGGCGGAGGCCGCAGGAGTGGCGGTTACGGCAGCGACGACAAGAGCTACGGACGCGGTCGCGGCCGATTCGACGGCGAGTGTCACTATTGCCACAAGAGCGGACACATGTGGCGCGACTGCTACAAACTCCCTGATGGTTGGACCCCTGCTCAAGGCCAAGAGGGTAGAGGAGCAGGAGGAGGGAGAGGACGAGGCCGTGGAGGCCGTGGCGGTCGCGGTGGCGGAGCTGCAAACATGAAGAGCGGAGACAACGACAAGGACCCGAGCGACGATCGATACCCGGGTCTAATCTACTTCGTGTCGACGCAAGTACCGGCTGGTCCAGAGAAGGATGAAGGCTTTGAGGAGCCAGCAGCTGTGGGGAAGGTGACCCTACACCCCCTGGACTATTGGGTGATTGATAGTGGCGCTACCTATAGCATGACACCTCGCCCGGACTTGCTCACCGAACTCGAGCCGTCACCGGTGAAGCATGTCACATCGGCTTTGGGGCAGCGAGCAGAGGTGAAAGGCATGGGCAAGGCCATGTTCAAGGGTGCTGATGGGAAGATGGTGGGCCTCAAGAACGTGCTTTGGGTGCCCAGCCTTGCTGCAAACCTGATTTCCGTGCGGCGGTTGGCAAAGGCCGGCATGGACACGAACTCGAAGGGAGCCAAGACCTACACCGCAAGGCTTGGCGATCGAATTCTTTGGGACCTTCATGAGGACAGGGATGTCTACAACGAGATGTGGCAGATCCCAGTGGTCCCTATGCCTAAGGAGAGGCAAGTGGCAGCAAGCATCAGCACCAAGGATGGAGCGGTCGGTAGCGACGATGGCGCGAACGGTCGCGCTAAGGAGAATGAGCTCAAGAAGAGCAAACCTGGAGGGACCAGCAAGTTCAGTGAACCTAAGGAGAGTGGTGCAGCAACCAAGGAGCAGCAAAAGGGTGAGGAGAACCCAGAGGCAGCAGCGGAGGAGGACTACGGAGAGAGTATGTGGGGCGCTATTGCGAGCGCGGCATTCTCCAATCCAACTTCGGCTACGGGGGAGTGTGATTGGCTCACCTTGCATCGGCGCATGGGGCATGTGGCCCTGCCCATCTTGCAGCAGCTAGTGAAGAATGAAATGGTTGCTGGCATACGTGTGAAGGGGGAGCCCAATGAGGTGCTTGGCTGCCCGACGTGCATTCAAGCCAAGTTCACCCGGTTTCCGTTCCCTAGTTCGGAGGCAACGGCAAAGGCACCGCTTGATGAGGTGGTGATGGACGTGGTGGGCCCCCTGAAGCTTGGAGCTGCTGGAGCTGAGTATTTTCTCACCATTGTCGACGTCTACACCCGCATGACTTGGGTGTACGTGCTGGCCAAGAAGAGCGACGTGGCTGAAACGTTGAAGACGGATTGGTTCCCGATGGTGGAGCGGCAACAAGACCGTCTAGTCAAGTCAATCCGCACCGATCGAGGGGGAGAGTTCCTGAGCAAGGAGTTTGGGTTGTGGCTGAAGAAGAATGGTATTCGGCACTCCCTCACCATGCCATACTCCCCTGCAATGAACGGCATCGCCGAGCGAGCGAACCGCACAATCACGGAGGCGGCACGCGGGTTGCTCATTGAAGCCGGGCTACCCGACTATTTCTGGCCTGATGCGGTGCGGAGCGCGTGTGTGGCCAAGAACAGAGCCTTGACTCATGTGGGAGCAGACAAATGGGTGCCCTATGTGGAGTGGCTAGGAAGGAAGCCAAAGGTGGATATGCTTCGGGTGTTCGGGTGCATGTGCATGGCGCTCGTGCCTAAGCATCTTCGGCACAACAAGCTTGGTGCCAAGGCGGTGTGGGCCGTGCACTTGGGCATGGCTCAAAACAGCAAGGGATGGCTTCTTTGGGACCCATTCACCAAGAAGTTCTTGGTGAGCAGGGACTGCAAGTTCATGGAGAACTTCATGTACAAGGATTGGAAGGCGGAGAATGAGGCGAAGATAGGCGTGCGGTTTGGGGAGGTGAAGAGTTCCGGTTTGGAGCATGTGGAGCTGCCTTTGAAGCTGAGCAGCGGCAGCACAACCACAAGGCAATCCTCCCTTGTGAATTGGGGAGAGGAGGCCAATGATGCAGAGGAAGAAGAGGAGGAGGTGCAGCAAGTGAGCGAGCGTGCACCGTCACTCCCTTCCCGTACTACGAGTGCTCCACGGATTCGAGCCACACCGCAGCAACGCCAAGGCCTTCAAGTCCCTGCAGCTGAGGAGGAAGGAAGGGGGAAGAGGAGAGTTCGACCCCCTAATAGGCTGACCTATGATGCGCCGGGAAAGCAGGGCAAGACAGCCCTGGCCGGAGCGGCAATGATGGTCGGAGACGACGAGGAGAGTGACTACGAGGAGTGTGCCTTCGCGTTCTTCTCTCCGGTGGAGATGCCGGGAGAACCAGCAACTCTCAAGGAGGCTTTGGAGAGTAGTGATGCTGAGGAGTGGAAGAAGGCCATGGAGAGTGAGCTGAAGAGCATCGAGGAGAATGACACGTTTGAATTGGTGGAGCTACCGGAGGGGCGTACGGCGATAACGTCCAAGTGGCTCTTCAAAATCAAGTCGGATGCCGACGGCAAGATCGAGCGCTACAAGTCTAGGCTTGTAGCCAAGGGGTACCAGCAGAAGGAGAAGGTGGACTTCAAGGAGCTGTTTGCCCCTGTGGTGAAGCCGACGACGCTGCGAACCCTATTCGCGGGAGCCGCCATCAAAGGATGGGTAGTAAAGCAAATGGACATCGTAACGGCATTCCTTAACGGCATCCTTGAGGAGGAGATTTTTATGGCGCAGCCAGAGGGGTTTGATGATGGTAGTGGCAGAGTGTGGAAGCTGAAGAAGGCCCTCTATGGGCTGAAGCAGGCCCCTAGGCAATGGTACATGAAGCTGCGCGAAGTGTTGGAGGGGATCGGCTTCACTCCCTCAACGGCCGATCACTCCTTGTTCATGCTTGGCGAGGGGGAGCAGAGGAGTTTCATGGTGGTTTATGTGGATGACATCCTCATTTTCTCACCCTCTTCTGACCTTGTGAAGGAGGTGATGCTGAAGCTTCAAGACAAGTTCAAGTGCAAGGCCCTTGGTGACGTGAGCTTCTACCTTGGGCTCCACATCGAACGAGATGTGGAGAAGCGGTGCATGCGGGTGCATCAACGAAAGTACCTGGAGGCATTGGCTGCCAACTTTGGGCAGAGTGAAGGCCATGTGGCTACACCCTTTCCCTCTGGGTTCAAGTGTGTGAAGGGACCAGAGGAGGAGAGCGTTGGTGAAGAGGAGAGGCGCCGATTTCACTCGTTGGTGGGCAGCCTCATGTATGCGGCGGTAAACACCCGACCGGACGTCGCGTTTGCTACCGGGCAGCTGGC